ATATTATTTAAGTAGAATCTGAAATAATGGCTGGAATTAACACTTCTCAATGAACAAGACATTTTTAAATTGCTGATGTTGAAGAAACCTGCATCCTGCATCACTCATAATGCTAAATCACAGTGAATTTATAAAATAACAAAGGGTTAGTATCAGTGGTGGGTTACGGCGGGTACACCCCGGTAAGAGCATACCGGTGCCTGCTGGGAGCACCAGGTACCGTTCCAGTACGGTACTTAGGAGGGCCCACCCGCTGGCCCGCATTCCTTACTTGTATTTGACCCAACCGGGCCATTTGAGCAGCTGGAGCATCGCAGGGCAGTGGTGCGCATGCGTGCGCAGTGCACACAGTGGATGCCCGGCCTCGCCGCAGCGTACCGGTTGCGACAGGATCTGGAACCCACCACTGGTTAGTATAAGGTATGACTTTTACCAATGCTGCAGCATAGAATACGTAAGATTCTTCCAAGATTCTTCCATCTATCCGTGGCTTCCTAGGTTAAAATCCTATTTCAATTTATTCAAATTCATTTGAATAAGGGCTTGATAGGCCTTAAAATCTTGGGATTCTATATGTGGGCACCTCCTAGAAGTTCATGCTGGCTGGAGAATTCTGGAAATGGAAATTCACACATCTGGAGGATAGCCATGTTAAGGAGGCATAAAAATACCCAGTTCTTAACCTTCCATAACATTATACAGTTAGTAATCAACTTACAACCACAATTGAGCCCAAAATTTATGTTGTTAAGTAAGACATTAATTAGGTAAATTTTGTCCCATTTTATGATCTTTCTTGCCACAAGTTGTTAAGTGAATCATTGCAGTTGATAAGTTAGTAACACAGTTGTTAAGTGAATCTGACTTTCCTAGAGACATTGCTTGTCAGAAGATTACATTACCCTGGGATACTGCAACCATCATAACTATGAGTCAGTTGTCAAGCGTCTGAATATTGATCACATGACCATGGGGATGCTGCAATAGTTGTGTGAAAAATGGTCATGTTACTTTTTTCAGTGCTGTTGTAACTTCAAACAGTCATTAAATAAACTGTTGTAAATCCAGGACTACCCATATATCTTCCTTTGTATACTTCTGACTATTTTGACTACCTTCCTCTAAATTCATTTTTCTACCCTCTTATTAAAATGCAATACCCCAGATCTTGATCTAGTATTTCAGATAAGCCAGAATAAAATAGAATGATTACTTCCAATTCATTGTACTGTGGTTGCTTTATTGTAACATATATTGCACCAGAGTTTTTCTTTTTTGTAGTGGCAGATTGTCTATTCATGTTTAGTTTTCATTTGTGATAAACAACAATCTCATTTTTTCAAGTAAATAGCTTTCAAGATACATATTCTATGTCCCATATCCCTTTTTAACTATTGTAATGCTAAATTTCTCATTATTTCTAATTTATTTTATGTAGTGTTTTATGTTATTTTGTCTTCACAGTTTTCATTCTAACAAAATTATTTACATTTTATTTTCTTTAATTAAGATAATACTTGTCCATTCTGGCTTTGCCGTCTGCAAAATTGAATACAATTCATTTGATCAACTATCACTAACAAATGTGATAAAAACCATAAAGCTCTGAACCAAGCATCACACTTCTATAAACACTTGCTGGCTGGATTCATGCACTGTCCTGGTTTTATTATAGTCCATATATTTTTATGCAGTCTATAGCTTAACTATATATTATATGCCCCCATTGTCCTGTTTTCTACAATATAAGACATGGAATATGGTTAGCAGATACAAAGACTAAGTTCACATGAAAGCGATTATGGGGACTAGATTTCTGAATACAATACTATTTTCAATATATACTATTTTCTATATAGAATACTTACAAAACAATGAACTAACATTCTGTTTTTAAAACAAATGTGGAATAATTAATCTGGCAGGATATATATTCTTGAGAATGTTAGCTTTTAGTACTACTGCAACATTGAAAGTTTAGCTTTAAATGTTTAATTTGCACTATTACTATTTGAAAAAAAACTTAAACAGTTGAACTTACAGATTTTGTGAGAATAACTACTTTAGCCAACAGAAATTTGAGAATACATCAAATAGTCTACTAAACCTGTTATGGCCTTCTATATAGAAATAATTAGTAATTCTGGGAATTATGAATATAAAAGCTAACAGGAGATAAAGGGATAGGTAAAGAAAAGCTTTCAAAGATTTTAACTAAGTGTTTTCATCTTTTTATTAACAAATTAATAGTCAAAATAATAGCTAAACTTACTTTTACATAATAAGCTAGAATGAGATAAATTATATGTAAATGTATGCAATCTTTTATTAATAAGAACATTACAAGAAAGTGAGGTATTATTGAACAGGTTCACATAAAGTAGGAAAATGAAATTTCCTCATGGAGTATAGCTGTCTCATATCAATGCTAGCTTCTTTTTAGTAAGGTACTATCCTAGCTTCCCCACAAAAAGTGTGCCAAGATTGTATTATAAAGCATCTCTTTTAGATATATCACCTGGAAAAAACCTAATTGCTACCATAAAACTACCCTAAAATTACAAGCCATGGGGACAAGATGCCCCATTTCCTTTTTTCCCTTATATTTTAAGATTTGACCTGTATATTCCACATCAGATATTAAAATATTTAATTACTAAATACTACACTTTTGAAAAGACCACATAATTTGGATCAGTTTTTAGAAGAGTTGCACATATCATATATCACAACCTGAAGCACACCCTTTCTATTAGAACAAAATTTCAATCAGTGATCTAATTTACCAACAGCAAAATTAGTATTTCATCAGAATAAATGACAACCACAATTAGTGCTGAAGCTGATACCGTAAATGTAGCACAAGTTCTAAATCAAGACACAAGTATTTTACAGAATGCAATCTGTCATGTGATATAGTTAAGTGATGATTGTTCATTAAATAAATTAAAACTGTAAATGAGGAGTCCTTGATGTTCCACTGTTCAACCCTGAGCTACATATATTGAAACTATAAAGTCGAGGGACGTACATATATACTGTATCACAAAATTTCAAGAATGAATTTGCCTAGTAGTAGCTTATTCAACCGCTATAAAATCATTCCAAATCAGCCAGTCAATAAAACAGAATCAGCTGTCCAGTATTATGCACTTTTGTGAAATATACTATAATTATTAAAAGTAACCCAAAACAGCCAAAATTTTCAATACACATGGAAAAAAGACTCTTCTGAGAATTGAAGATTTGTGTCTCATTTTTTAAATCAAAAGTTTTGCTCTTTGGAAAAAAGCCTTTTATAATAAAAGCAATACCCCACACATATATACAATAGATGCATAGGTAGGTAGGTAGGTAGGTAGGTAGGTAGGTAGGTAGGTAGGTAGGTAGGTAGGTAGGTAGAAAGGAAGTACTGCTTCATGATATATACAACCTGTTCAACCAGTTCAGCTCAGTACAGGTACTTTCAGCAGCACAACTTGCTGTAATATCCTTTTTATAATATCATGAAATAAAGCTGATAATCCTCTCAGTACTCTATGTCAAACAAATTCAAGAAACTGAA